CTGCAGCGTATTAAAGAATGTAAAAGAGTGCAAGAAAGAAAAGACGAGGAGGCTCGTCTAATCTCTATGATACCTAGACGATAATATCAATTATAAAAAAAAATTTTTTTTGTTATTATAATTGTAAATAATAAAAACGATAATATCAATTTAAAAAAAAATTTTTTATTGGTCAATTTATTACCGTACGTCGCGGTGTATAGTACCCCTCCCTTGTCATGGATATTTTAATGGTGCGTTCTTTCCACTAATTATTATGTACGTAAAAAAATAGAGAGAAATTATTCTTATTGTTTTTATTCCTATTCGTGTATATTGATTGTAAGATACACCATGACGTATAATAGTCAATTTATTTTTTTTTTATTATTAAAAAAAAACCCCATGTGTTACACAAGCGTAACGAACAGAATCTACACGTGATCTCTATTTTCATTAGGGATCGTAAACATAGAATATCCTTCGCTTTGCTTCGGACAATTATATAAAGTTTGAAAGCTATATATAATAAAAAAACAATCTTGTAATTATTCTTTTTGAATAATAAATAAAATAATAATATTGTTAAATATTTAAAATATAATTATTTAAAAAAAAATTTTTTTCTTATATTTAACATTTTTCTTAAAAATTTTCTTTTATAGTAATTTTTTTTCAAAATTAAAGAAACAAATATTTTTTTCACCTTCCAATATTCAAAAGTTTTTTATATCTTTTTCTTTACTACAAGAGCCTTAAGGAAATTAAAGAAGTATATTGATATATTGAAATAGGATCTCTGGTCAAAGGAAAGCAAGCTTGGGAATCTTGCTTTTTCTTTGAATTGCATAAGGAAAGGCTTATGGCAGTTACTTTTTTACAAATATTCCTTGAGGTTCTTCTCTATTTTTCTTCTTTTTAATATACAAATCTTTTTAAATAATTATATTTCTTGTTTGAAGAACATCTTTTTAATAAAAAAAATCAAATTTCATATTAAAATTGTTTATACTGTTGATTTGAAGTATTAACAATATATTCAATACTTATTCTTTACTATTTCTTAGTATATTCTGCTATATCATCAAAAACTAAAAATTTTCATTTAAAAAAACTCTTATCAAAAAACCATAATCAGTTTACTTTTGTCAACTAATTGACATTTCAAATCCAATCAATTAAATACTATCAAATCTCAAAACAATTTCATATAATCAAAACAACATATAACGATTGACATAAACAAATTCTATTTTGGCAGTATTAATCAAAACAAGATTACATTATCAAAAAATAAATCAATTAACATATTAACAAAAATATTAACAATTATAATAACAATACATGATTTAAATAACATGTCAATAATATTATTATTTACTTTAAACAATAGCCCAACCATTTCTAAAAGCAAAATTCTACTTTGGTTGAATGGATCAACCAGTATAACACATCTAATTCAAGATATTTTTTATATAATAATTAATCTTTTTTTATTTTTCTTTCAATTATTATTAAATATTTAAATATAAATAATTATATCACCACTACTATCAATAATGACTCAAGAAATAGTTATCAAAAAGATGTATCATTAATATTATTATATATATATTGGTTTTAATATTTATTTTTATATCACTTAGATAGTTTCTATAGATAAATTAACATTAGACTTATTAATATAGCAAGTTATATAAGAAATGTTGTTATTTTCTTCATATATAAATTTTAAACAATTTTATAATTAATAAAGTGATGATGTTTATTTACTTAAAATATATATATATATTATTTTTAATTTTTAAAATGATTTTAATTTAATTAATTAAAATTTATTTAATAACATAAATATTTTTGAAATATCATGATATTTAATAAATATTGATTTTTTGTAATAAACTTTTTATTGTATCAATTAAATATTACAGTATTATTTTTTTAACTTATAATTATATATGTAAATTGTTATAATTATTAAAGAATATAAAAAAAAAACTTTTTTTTATAGAATTTTAATTGTTAATATAATTAATTAATTAAGTAAATAAATAATTATATGATTTTTAATTTATTTTTTCCAAGAGATTTTATAAATTATATAAATTGTATTAATATATTTTAATAGTGAAATCACGTGCTTTTAAATAACTTTATATGAGTTCATTATTTGCTTTACTATTATGTAATATACAGTAAGTAAATTATAGTTTATTCAAAAAAATTTTAATATACTATATTTAAAAATATATTTGCAAGATAATCTTAACTATCTTTTTATTTGTTTTTATATCATACCTAAATATTTGAATAAACAGGTAACAAACAATGTGACAAACAATGTGAAAACATAATTTTAATCTATAAAGATTACAAATGAGGGTTTTAGTATGTAATAATTGATCACTTTATATGGAACTATTTTTACATAAGATCATGATTTGATGTAACCAATTATTCAAGATATTTTGCAATCAGACTTATCAATCAGTGATGGATGACCTTGATTTTTTTTATTTCTTTAGAATTATGACGAGTAATAAATTTGAATCAGTACTGTATTAACACACCCAACATTTACGTTATTGATTGATTAACATATAACAAAAAGAAAATTTTTTATGGGAAATGATGATATAATATTAGCGTAATTTTAAAAAAGTATATACGTTTAGAAGAGTTTTTTATTTGCAATATTTTTGTTCCCCTCTTGTATGTACATACAGTCTCACCCGCAAAAGCAACGCTCGATTTTCTTATATAAATCAGCGAGTGAAAGCTGACACAACGAGAAATCAAAATAGGACAGGTTGTTGTCGATATACGATGCACGTGCTCAAGGTTCTTGTATGAATCATAACGCGACTGTTGAAAAAGTTAGAATTCTTTTATCTTGGTCGTATTAAACATCGTGTGTACTGTAAGTTGACTCTTCAATTCTGCTAATTTCCTAAACACTTGGCATCTTATAAGGACATATGATGACGTGTGAAATGCTGAAAAGGTGAATACCATGAAAAAACCACGTATAATTCATCGTCGGAAGGATCTCGAAACATGGAAACAATATTTTCAATATAAGGAACCATTTCGGATCTAATGTCGTCGCGATCCACACGATCTTAGAGATTTATTCTTGTTGCCGCATCCGTTAGTGGAGGTTGAGGTAAAGGACGGCCGGGTGATGAGATCGTCCTTATCGATTAAAAGTTTCGTTGGTATAAATAACGTACATTTTTATACCAGTATATATTGATCAGATCCAAGTATTCTGATCTTCATAGTAATGTTTCCATTTTATCAAATATCGCAAGTGGTGCGTGTAAAAGCTGCGCATTCAAGACGCGTATGCATAATTTTGAAGGGACAAAACCTACTTCATTGGTATATCTGTGGTCGACAATGTAGTCAACAAGATATTTATTCTCTTCCGCATGAAATCTTAAAGTTTGACTAAAATAAGAAAGTTGATTCGTTAGATTTATTTATGACTCTATTATGTTTTCATCACATCATTCCTAAATGACGTGTTGATGAACATTTATCATTTATAATGCGGTATTTATTCTCCATGAATCTCTTTTCAAGCATCTAAAATGAGGATTTAACAGATACGGACCCGGGTATGCCCTTCGTGGATAAAATCATAACCATTTTTGAATTCACAATCATTGCCAAATACAGTATTACGTAAGGTGAACACGTTATTTATGGTTAATTGCATGTTTATGATACATGAATATTAATATTTTTAATATCCGAGTTGAAAAATACAATATATACAGTATAAGTGGCGTCTCTGAGAAAAAGAAAGGTGTTATAGGTACAGTATATACTGTATTATTGAGACTAGTCCAAGCTTATCTGTTATTTAGATAGATAGTTGTATATCTAATGTATGGTACATGTTAGTTGCGGCGAATAGATGCCGAAAAAATAAAGATTACGTACATGTGTGTATGTACTGAACACTTTATTCGGGATTTTTGAATACGCGAAAAAAAAAAACCAAACAAAGAAATCTATAAGTATGATATAGATAATATATACAATATATTTAACAAATGATGTGCTAGAAGTGATAACTTTAGTTCGTCTTCCCGAACGGATGCAATAATACGCATGATAATATACAGTATATATATATATTTTTGGTTAATATCTGGAATCAAAACTCTCGGCTATCGAAGCCTCATAACTTGGAGGTGATTGATGATGATTTCGTAAATGTTTGGCGTAATGATTTCCAGGCACCGTTAAATAATTATCGGACTGCTCATGCACATCACTCCTCGAATTTTTGTTGCAAGCTGTAAAAAATTTACAACTTCCATTTTTCAATATCTCCTTGGCATCCTCACCCAGCACCAATCTCGCCATTCTCATATATTCCGGATCACATGGACAATAAGAACTAGAGTCCTCATAGCTAGGTAATCCTACGTAATCCTCTAGGGCCTTACATGACAGAATAGTGATAGGTACACAGATCTTAAGTTCCGCCTTATTCGAAGGGATATCCGGTAACGTTAGCGAAAAGGTAAATTTCAGGTCATGTGCCACGCTGATCAGAGGCGTGGCACAGGAGTAATGGATAGGCGAAGCACATTTTGGAACTTCCATGTGCATGACTTGGGAATAGACGACATTGCCAACGTCGCCTTCCTCGTGGTCCTCGATCAACCTCTCCTCTCCGAATTTGAACAATGTCTTGGTAGTGCCTACTTTTGAGTCGGTGACCTTTTGTTCGTGCGAGGTGTAAGTGGTCTTCTCCACTAGTTCCACCTTTACACTGATCACCCGAAGCCTTTTTACGTACGGACAAATCTTCATTTCTATAGGAATGGTTTGTCCAATCGGGTATCCTTTCTTGGGTATGCTGATCTCATACGACAACTGATGTTTGGTGATAAAAATTGGATTAACGAGTGAGTGAGTTAACGAGTGAGTGAGTGAATGAGTGAGTGAGTGAATGAATGAATGAATGGAAAACAAACAGTAGTGTTAAATGATAAAGATACATTACCATGTCATTGAATTCCCTGGAAAACGCTATGCCCTGTGTATTAACATGGTCAGGTATGGTTCGCAGAATTTCAATCGGTTGGTGCAGTATAATGTTTGGTTTAAATCTTGACCTCGTTGCCTTCGCGTGCAAGTAATAAGATACATTGCCCAATTCGGTGTTTACAGTCTCGGGTAGATTACCTGGTAAAAACAGTTCGAAAGGATAGGTGTGTATTCCAGCTGGTAGTTTTTCGGTTACGTGACTATTCTTGCGATCCCCATTTTTACTGACGCCTCTCCGGAAATTCGGTGTCAAAAATTTGAATCGTGCCTTCAAATTTTCTGCCTCCATCGATTCTCGATCATCGATGGATTCTTCGACGATTTCTTCGTTGGTGATGGTTAAAAATTTCCACGTGTGAGAAATTAATTCTCGTTCTTCCAAAAGAGTTTTTCGATCTTTATCAAGAAAAACAAAAAATGAGTTTATTATACAAGTTTCATATCAAGATAATAAACATTACCCTTTACAATAATCACCTTTCCAATGAGTTTTCGTTTTGCCGACAAATTTCATTTCCAACTTTCGAATTCTCGTCGGTTTTGATAAGTGTACCATCAAATCACCTCTCAGAACACACCCGACGGACTCTTCCGCTTTACCACGAAAAAATATGACTGGTTCGACCAATTTGATTTCCAAATATGATTTCGATATTCCGTCCAAATCCTTCGTAACATAGTTACTGTCAGGATTTAATCTTGACGGTTTACGAACGAAAGAGTTTGACAAAACATTAGTGAACGATGATGATGTGAAAAAAGACGTTTGAGTGATTTGAGGTGATGTGAGTGATAGCAGTGATGGATTTCGTGAAGAGGATGGTGTTGAAAGGGTGGAATACGTGTTTATCATCATCTTATTACTGTATGTATGACTTTACTTTTTTTTTTTTTTAAACACTTTCTATCGTGCTTTGTAAAAGGTTCATGAAATAGTCGGTTTTGACAAACTTACGACTTGATTCGCGAAAGTTGTAGATGCAGGGAGAAATTTATTATTATTATTTTTTTTTTTTTTTTAAATGGAGGGGGATTATTACGTATTTATAATTTCGACCGGCGAAATTATATAATAAGAAGGCTATAAATCAGAAAAACCAGCTATAGAATTAAAGTTGGAAGAATATAAAAAAAATTCCGATATTCAAGTTTTTTTTTTTAGTTTTTATAAATTCCCACTGTCAAATAAGGTATAGGCTTGTTGTTTGCGCATGATCCTCAATGCAATGCGCCTCATGCAGCTTGCCTTCATACGTACAATAACAGGGTACCACACAGTGTTCCTTGATTGTCAAACTAAATAATGTTCAGGTGCAACTAACCCTGATGACTTCCTTTCAACGTTCCGACCAAAGTGGCCCGTTGGAATTCCCTTTTTTTTCTGCAAAGTAGAAATTCATCGTGGAAGAACAGCTGATCTCATACAAACAATCTCCTTGTATGCTTTCCGAAAACGACGTTCACCTGGGTCAGGAACTTACAATGGTTGTCATTGACTTCATAGAAGTCATCCGTATATAAATGAAATCATACATTACCCCATGCGACTTATGCAAAGAAAAGTTCATCTGACGTGACACGCGTATTCCGGACCGTCTACATTTGAATAGTTAATTGAAAACCAAATGTTATGATAAATTACAGTAGAATGTTCCCCTTTCAGATAATAATTCAATGATTTTTTTTTTTTTTCAATCATAATATCATAATAATAACGACCGTAAAGTAATTGATCGACACGGCCAGAACCACTGGGTTTGTGACAACTCCGATGATTGATGTTTGCACGAGAAAATTTAGAAACAACAACTTCCACGTTCAATTTTCTGGTTTCATTGCAGGCATTAAAATTTTTTTCTCCTATGTTGGTCAATAAAGACTCTGTCTTTGGCGTTTCAGAAAGGTGATCTTCCTTTTTTAAAAAACAAACACCGACACTCTCCGTTGATTGTTCCAACAAAACGACCACTTACATCTCGTGTAGTAGAAACTTGAAACTACTTGGTGTACATACTTGTCTACCTACCTACATGTGATTTTATTGGTTCCTGGTGACTCATTGTTTAATCGATCCAACGATTTACTTTCAAATTTATAGATTACCACCTCATCCGATGCTAGCGGAAGCTAACCTTTTTTAATTTGCATGTACAGTACAACAAATAAAAATCCTGATAAAAAGGTCACTCCAGCCACTACAGCATTTGTGAAACCTATGATACGAATTTCAAATACCAAATGGTTTGTGCGATTGATTAAAGGTATAACCAAAAACAAGATTTCAACGAGCTCCCGACTGATGCCTTTGTTGTAGATGTGCAATTCGAAACTTGTGAGTCATTTATCTGTATCATTCATGCGATAGCGATTTCAAACCTTTATTTCATCTAGAAAAGAAATTCAAATTGACATAATGAGGAAATCTGGAATTTTCGTAAAAGAATGTGAAATCTTTATAAATGAACATAAAAAATGGAATTTTTTATAAGAGAAAATAAACGACTACCTTTATTTACTTGACTTACAAATTAACAACTCTATTGTCATGAGATATTGGATGTGTGTACTGCATGACTCTAGAAATTTACAAATAAAAAAAGCGAATTTGTAATTTTTCTTTACAGTATATAACTAGTGGTCACCCGCCCCCCCAAAAAATTGATAGGAATAATGAAAATAAAGAAAAAATGAGAATAATCTTTATATTTTCACAAAATGAAATGGTTTTATCAAACACTTTCTTTTCCAAAACGATGTCTTCTTAACAATAAGTCAATGACAATACTTACCGAACTTCTAGTTCTCGGATTCAAGATAATTTGGAGGTTTTTGTTTCATTACCGAAAATGCGCATATACATTCAATATATCTCAAGTTGTGCTGTTTACATAAAGTTCAATGTAGCCACAAGACACACTGCATCCTTTAATAACACTCCGATTAGCCCAAAGCGTTATTGGTGAATAAGATATTCGATCTATAAGGTAATTGATGACCAAAAGGAACTTGGCACATAAGATAATAGCAACCGGGTCCCAAGGTTTACCCATAATTGGGGGAGAAACGCCGTACAAGTGATTGGGAAAAATCTGATCTTCGAAAATTTTGCGTTAACCAGTTTAACCCGAAAGTAAGGCCGGCAACAAAAAGCCGAAATTTCTACGTACAGTAACGTGCTACGTAAAAATGGTGTCAAACGATATATATATTTTTTTTTTCTTGGCATGCATTTGACTCGAAACAATGAAGCGAACACAATTCAAGGGGAAACTGTGCGCTGTGTCCACACAGCACTCGAGCCATGATTGAAGAAATGCCCGTGATAAACAAATTACATTTTTTAAAAATAACTTCCCAATTTATATTGAATTTGTTTACGACAGTTTAAATTTATGTATAAAAATAAAGACGCACACAAAAAATTAATAAAATTGATCAAATTTAAAGTTATTCATTATTAAATAAATAATTAAATAATTGACCGATCTAGATAGATAGTATTGTAATGGAACCGAGAATTATTAATTGTTTTTTTTAAAAAATCACATTATATCAATTTAATGACAATGCGTATACAACATCATTAAAAGATACTATGGTAAGTCGGTTGCTAATAACAGATATCTGTGGTGTAATGTCAAACAGAATATGTGTGTCATTATAACGAGCAAATAATTTAATCAATAAGGATTATACGAATATCAAATAAAGGTTTTAATATTGTTTTTTTTTTTTCAACATTTACTTATTTCTCTTTTATATAATCATATCAACTTCCAAAAGTTTTAATAGTCTTTGATTATAATCTAAACGAATGATAGTATTATTCTCGTTACGTGTTATGATCTTTATATATTTTTTTAAAGAAATCTAGTAATTTGTACAATAATTTTTTGTTTTTATAACAATACTATATACATGAAAAATATATTTTTGAAATTTTATAATAAAAAATACAGTATATCGATAGAAATCTTTATGTTGAGAATTATCATTTCGATTACATTATTTAGAAAAAACATAATATTATTGTGATGAAATCTAATGCTGTATTATTTTAGTTCATAATAAAAAATAATGATTTCTTAAAAAAGACATGCTTGATTAAACTTTTACAATAAAATAAATTGATCTATGAATCTTACAATATTTAACTTATATTTATACTTGATATACTTGATATATTTAATATACTTGATATACTTGATATATTTAATATACTTGATATATTTGATATACTTGATAAACTTAAATAAACTTAATATACTTGATATATTTGATATATTGATATACTTAATATATATCAGATATATCAAGTATATCTATTATACTTTTCCTGTATTTTTTAAATATTTTCTTATCATTTGTATAATTATTCTTTCCTTTAACAATAACCTATTTTTAAAATACAGTATATTCAAAAATATGATAAAGGTGTTCTAATACTATATATTAATGTATTATAATTCTAAAAACAGATTTAATGACCATTCAAGCATATTTATCACAGCCATCTCAATTTTTTATAGCCCAGAACTGGTACATGGGGTTGCTTGAGCACACTAAACATAAAAGGGAAGACTAAAATATTGACAATATATATATACAATATATTTCTTTTAAAACAATTAAACGATATGATTAATACTGTATGTTGTACAGTATGTAATCGTACTCGTCAGAACCGATTTTGAACTGGTTCTATTTTTTTCGAGATATAGCATACAAATTAATGATACATCATAAAAAGCAATAAGGCGTCTATCAAGGCGTTTGTTTACTTGATCCGGCTTATCAGGGTAAATGGTTTTCTTCGTTCATTTTATGATGTCGAGTCCTAAAAGTTTGACTTTTACCGAATCTGTCAAGGTATAGTGATAAATTTTTATGCTGTAATATTCTATTAATTAACTGTATTAAATTAAAATGTTTCTGCGAAACAAAGGAAAAAGGAGCGTTGTAGCTACGTGTTTACGTCATGCCACCATGACGTTTTCTAACATTTAAACTACCCTGATATATAATCTCGGGTGACAAATCAGCTGTGGCAGCGTTTATGAACTCATAATACATTTTATCCTCATCATCGTGAATTCTCACGTGCAAGAATCCCATCGTACCATTTGGTGCTGACCACGAACCCATACATCCTTCGGAGTCATGCTTACTAGCTGCACCCGTTGTAAAATATGTCACGGGTGATGTCGAATTTGCGGCTTCAAAACCTAGCGTGTGTGAGTGGCCGGCAAAGTAGGCCGTCACGCGATACCTTTCGAAAAGCGGTGAAAGCTTGGGCAAGTAATATTGATCCCTGCATTCGCCAACAAGTGTATGATGACCTAATGTTATGCAAGAAAGTAATGGAATTAACTAAGGGCAAAACAGCGAAATCAACCGGTAAATTATCATTATCATTGATACCCACCAACAACAAAGATCCACTTTGCGTCCTGAACGCGTTTCAGTTGTTCTTCCATCCAATCCAATTTTTCTTGAAGTTCTTTGGTAGTGTTTAATCTCGTATTGCCAAGATTCTCTTTCATGCTATTTCTATTATCGAGACTGGAATAGTTGTAAGCGAATGGATCTGTGTCGATGTGTATCCACGCAACTTTGGTCTTCATTTTTCCAAATTTCGATACACGGACGTAATATAACGACGGAAAAAAAAATCTTTGATCAACTTTCCAGTAGTAGTCGATCTGTGCCGTGATGTTCGTGTACCAATCGTGGTTTCCGGCGACCGTGTACCATGGGATTTCTGCTAACCTTCCACGGTATGGATCTAACCATCCAGATTTCCATCTGGAGTCACGAATGGACAAAACTCCATCATAATCTGACGAGTTGCTCTGATAAAAATTGTCTAGAGAAAACGCATCACGAAAGAATAACAGTTTTAGACACCGAGCTGCCGGTCCCTGAATTTTACTAGATAACATAAACTTACCACCAACATTGATGACAAACAATGTGTTATTATTTTCGGCCCAGGTTTTCATTGCGGTGGCGACCAAATCTTTTCCAGACCCACTTGAACCCCAGTCTCCTATGGCCAAGAAATCCATGTCACTTTTATAATTTTCTTGGAATATCTTAGGATATGGGATTGAGATTGTCGTTTCGTCAACGTCGTGGTGATGTTTGACATGCGGTATGACAATAGCAGTGGCATAAGTGAAGACTATTAATAAGGTGATGGATATTCGAAGGAAATTAATACCAAAGGATTGAACGGTAATACTAAGCATCATTTTTTAAATCAAAGCTGATTTGTCAAATTCGAAGGCTTGTATTTATAATCTTTGTACATATGAGTACATACATTCCTTTTCTTCTCAGTCTAAATCAGAATCCTTTATATCTTTCTTGAGATCGCCATTGCATTTACATTTTTTATTGTCGCGTTATCATCATTTAATTACATGCTCCTCTCATTTTATTGCTAGACAATAATTGGACAGGTGTTAGTATAAAAATAGTCATCAATGATGATAATGCTAGGTTTTATTTATCCGACAAGGTCATATGGACTTTGCAAATTTTATAGCCAATAGCGCACTATGGAATTTTCTTTATGCAATTGCATTAACCAATAATAAAGTGTATACGCGAATTCTCGAAAAATTTATCTGCTTTTCCGGCGCGTTAAAATTTTTGACATGGTAAAAAATATACGTACATGATAAAAAGAAATGTATGAAAAAGAAAAGATCCAAATTATTCCTACCCTTTCAACCCCTCCGACGACTTTGAAGTCTATTGCATCATGATTAACTTCGTAAATATAGATGTCTCATCGAATTTTCAAAACAAAGCTATTCCAAATTAGACAAGGCAATTACTTCATGATATTCACATAAAATATAAAATTTGTCCATCTCCAAAGAACCAAATTATCATTTCTGATTATGTTTTGTCTCAATGACCAGGATTATTAACTCGCAAAAAAATGAATGTGAAGTTCGGTAAGAGACGAAGAAAAGGATCATTCTTAGGTTTGACAACACATTCTGGATTTTCATCGGCAAACTGTCGAGATTCCCACGTGTGTGAAGTGAGCAAAGTTTTTTCGTTTGACATCGATGGAAGGTGTTTCACTGCATATCTATCAACCCATGAAATTAAATCCAATATGAATAAATAAAGTTAGTCAGTCTTTTTTATGCATATCGGTTCGAGTCCCATAGTCAGTTCAAAACCTAACCCTCCGTTAAATATTGTGCAAGATATTACTGGCACCATTCGCGTCCCGATCCATCTCAACCTCACACGAATCGAATTGAAAAGTCTTGGAACCACCCAGTTTGTCATTAATTTGCCCACAATGCTCACACGCCTTAGAAGTGTATTTATTCCTCGGTGCACTCGAGGACCTTGCAGTACTTATACTTTCTTATCTTGCGTAAAAGAAACATTCGAAATCTGAAATGCGACCAGGTCAGTATCGAACGAACTGTCTTCGACCGAATCTTTAGTTTGTTTTCAAAACTATCCTTGAGTAACCAACGAGCCAGATGATGATGGCACTCATCGATCAAATTACAGATTCGTTAAATAATTAGTTAACATCTTTTTCTTGTTTGTTCTTCCCAAAACAAATTCTTAGTCATTTTTTAATTTGTCATATTTCTTGGGCAATTTGAATACTTTGTTAAAATCACCTTTGCCCCCTCGTCAATTGACCGTCGGGATCGTAACCGGTCATAAACGTGCGAACACCTGATTCAAGTAAAATTACCTTTCCTTGGACATCATCTTGACTGTCGATGATATTCAAGGTGATGCATAGTTTGTTAACTGTGTTGTTGATATCTAGTGGTCGTTCTGAGGTGATAATGTTCTTTAGGAACGCATACTTCCCTCTGTTCCTATTTCAATCCCTAGCAAGGATCGAGATGGTTTGTGTTTGATCCTTCTTCGATCGATAATTCATTCGAAAATTATTTCCAGTGAAACTTCCTGTTTGTTTTTTATGCACCCATCAATTGTCGAATCGCGTACGAATGTACTTACCTAGAGGAGTTCTTCGGTTGTGAAGCACTCATTGTTCAGGTAGTGCCTTCGTATGGTACTCATGTCGGTGATTCCATCGTCCTGCACCATCTCAAGAACCTTGTTGTATGTCCATCTCGCAGTTCTCCATCTACTTTCTTAACTTTTCTCTTTCTTCGGCATTGGGTAAATGTGCATCTTTCGTGTTTTTAATCTTCGTCATTTTTTGCCACGAATCCATTCAACAAGCTCATATGCAAATTTGCAGAGTCGATTCTTCCTAGAAACCACAACCTCCTCGATATCTCCTCAGTAAGATCATTCCAAATTGGATGTGAAGAGTCGAGACCTGACCCAATGTCCTTAATGAGCTCGTGGTCTGGGCATTTTTGTTTGAGGTACTTACTGCCTTTCGAGATCCTTTTTCTGCTTTTCTGAGCTGACTCGCGCATAACAGATCTTTTTCTTTTCAGATATCCTTTCTTGATTTTCAAACAACTTTTCTACATCTGCTACAAAATACGATGCTCGATATCTTTTCTTGGCTGTTTCACCTTCTTTGTTATTAATAATTAAATAATATAAAATACTAAAAATAACAATCAAATATAGTATGATCAATCTGTGCCAATCTTTTGAAGGGGATAAGCTGGCCATGATTTTTGACAAACTTTTGGAAACTTGATAAAACAGGAAGACAGTTCCTATGTTGTCCTTCTTGAATTGTAGTTGATAAGAAATCAGTTATCAGATCAAAATAACTCTTGAAATATAGTGCTTTGACTGCATCAATAGACTAAATTCTAGGGATTTTGATACAATTTATTGTTCATTTAAATATTTCGTATCTTATGGAGTTATATATTTTGCTGATGTCTTGGTTGAGCAATTATAATTCTTTGCCTATCTTTCTTGTTTTTTTTATAATTTAATTGATAATTATAATTGGTTCATGTGTTCCTCTTTTCAGAAGTCTTGTTTAGTTGAGAACTTGTACTAATCTGTTATTGATAATTTTGATAAAGACTTTTTTGATAGTTTTTAGTAGTACAATGGGTTTTATTATATTGCCAGTTTGAGTTTTTTAGAATAAAATATATCAGATTGTGTTATTATTTGTTAGAAATTTCTTTGATATAAAGAATTTGATTGAAAAGAATTATAAGTTTTTTTTTTTTGTTTTTTTTTAAAGGCTAAAGTGCAATACATACAAGGATTTTATTGTAAATCAAAGATTACAAATAACCATTATATGAACAGTCTAATTTAACTGACACACTGTCCTTATTCTAATCAAAATATCAACTTAACACCATGAAGGTGGATTCATACTTGAGCATGGACTATAGAGAGCTTTTTTGTTTTTTGTTTTTTGCCTATTTGACTATCACTAGGATTCCCTATCACTTTATCTCATAACATATATGCCGGATATCACAGAACTTACTTCTTTACACTTTCTAATAAATGCTTCAAAAGTTGTTTCTATGGTTGACACAGACTACCAAATCTGGAAACCATCAGGCCTATTGGGATGCGACTCCTAAACACTTTAGCAAACACTTCATAAGCTCTTGGTTGGCTTATGCTGTCAAATCTAGGGATATGAATATCAAGCAGAACACAACTTTTGTAAAGTGGCCTTGAATCTCCAAGTATACCTGTGAGGTTCTGGCCCGTTTTAAGTAATCATTCCAAAGTTACCTAATAAAGTCAACAAGTTTTTTTTTTATAATCTTATGGACTATAGGGGGAGGAAATGACCGATATGAAACTGGAAGAAGCACCAAGTACTATATTAATCATCATAATACCGACCAGACAATTTATGCATCACGACACCTTTTCTGGAGAACACAATATTAATGTCTACTGAATCAGCATGTAAAACGGCTTCATATGAGAAACAACACATAACAGGTTATGATGCCAAATACCATATAGAACTATTAAATCACCTTCACCTGGGATTGAACTGGTATCTTGTAATCTGATCTGATTTGTGGAGTACTAACCATTGCACTATAAACCTACAGGTCAAATTATAAGTTTTTTTATTTCTGTTATATTTAAATATTTGAGTATTGTATAATTGATTTGATTTCAAATTTGAAAAAAAATTTTGGTTTCACTTGTTAAGGTTTTTTTCAAGTGGTTTTGTTTGATTAAAAAATTATTTAAAGTGTTTTATTATTGTTTATTTAATCTTTATAGAATTTGTAATTATTGAGTATGGAATTTTTTAAATAATAATTTTGTTAAATATAATATTGTTTTGTTTTTTTGTTTATTAAAAGATCTAAGAATTTTTTCTTGATATTCTTTTAAATATTTTTTTGAATTGTTTTGTTTGTAATAAATATAAAACTTTGTATATTATTCTTTATAAATATTTAATTTTTTTAAATTAATTTTTATTAAAATTGACAAGTAGTTTAGTTTTTGCCAAGTGAGTTTTGGATTACAAATATTTTTTGATTAATTTGTAAAATAAATTTGAAAATACTTTGATAAAATTTAATAATCTAATATTATATTTAAAATATTGTTTTTTTTTGCTATATAATTTTATAATTTCAATAATCTTTTGTTTTTTAAGAATCAAGTTTTTTATACATTTTTATACATTTGTTATTTTTCTTAATTTTAATTTCAAAAAAATATTTAAATTTGAATTTATTAATAATTTTTCATATTAAATTTTATAATCTATTAGATAAATTGATTTTAGAGTTTATATAATTGTTCTATTATTATAAAATCTAATAAAACTATTTTTTAAAAATTTTTTATTGATTTGTTATTACATTTATTATAATATATTGTATATACTTTTTTAATATTGTATTAAATATTATATAAAAATTAAATAGAATAATTATTATTATTATTTTTTTTTTTTAAATCAACCAGCTGAGCCTTGCCTAGCATATTTTATTATTTTATTCATATATGTAATTCATGTATTACAGGAACTACTATCTATAAATAATTCTATATATCACTAGGCTATATCGGACCTACCCCATATTGGCTTGTTGCTATCAGCATTTACCCCAGAGAGGTTGTGCTGAGGCTAACATGCCAAAGCCCCGTTAGTGTTGTTATTATATCATTATGTTCTATTTGGCACTGTGTAAATTTAAAGGGAAAGTTTAAATGTGGAAAACTGGAGATAGTACCTATTCTTTGATGAATAGAACCACTGCAGAGAAAATCCTTCTAAACCTGACCACCTGCAGATAGGCGTATCATTTAA